TTAAATATTTGCAATTCACTGAATCTAGTAGCCAGGGGCGGACTGACCATTTGAAAACTCGGGCACTGCCCGAGGGCCCGGGGACAGTAGGGGGCCCCATGAGATGCCCCTGATACCTTTTTCATAGGCTTTTTTGAGTTTGGGCAAGGACACGGGGCCCCATGATCGCCTATGACCCGGGGGCCCCATGAGTTGTCAGTCCGCCCCTGCTAGTAGCCCCCTTTAAAGTTATGGGCCACAGACATCCCCCCCCATGTAAAAGCGTAAAGGGTACATAGCACCCCAGGTTACTCTTTCACAAAATACAGATACAAAGTAATTAAACACACAATACCATGACAAAGTCCATTTATTAAAAACACTGGGTAACAATGAATATATTTCATGGCATTTTGGCACATGCCATACATTATACAATTTTGTGTTTATTTACTATTTTTCTTTTTTAGGCAGGCCCTTGACTTAGGTAACTAAAGGAAATAGATGCTATGTACACTTATACTCGTTAATGTATTTAGGATGGATATCTGGAGACCAGGGGTGGACTGAATGTGGACTGACCATTTGGAATCTCGGGCACTGCCCTGAGGGCCTGGGGTCAGTAGGGGGCCCCATGAGATGCCCCTGGTACCTTTTTCATAGGCTTTTTTGAGTTTGGGCAAGGACACAGGGGCCCCATGATCCCCTATTGCCTAGGGGCCCCATGAGTTGTCAGTCCGCCCCTGCTGGAGACCATTTTACTTTTTTTTACAGGTCCTTCCTGCAGACCCCCACATTCCCTTGGCCAGGATTGTTTCGAAGAGTCCCTTGTGCCCACCAATATATCCATTATGAGGGCATGTAGCCTGGTCTGGTCTACATTTTTGTCTCTATAGCAGACCCTCATCAGGGATTTGGATCTGGTATAGACCTGTAAGGGGAACCACACACTGTTGTGTTTGTGGGGTTGTGGGGACATTCACATTGACCAGTAGTGTGAATGAAAGGATTCTACACCAAGCCCCAATGTAATGAGAACATATCCACTGACCATTAATGTGATTGAGACATTTAGCCTATGTGCATGTTGTGCGTGTCAGGAACGCATGCAAAATCGATTTCCTAACACCACAAAAACTTGCTGCCCTTTAGCAGATACACAGCAGTGACATTAATTGTTAATGACACCGTCACAAATCCATTGATGATTTTCACATGCACCAAAATTAACGGTGGCTTGGTGTGATTTTTAAAAGAGGTCAAGGACCTTTTTTCTGCATTTCTAGCACATAGAGCAGCCCATTGAAGTTAATGGACTGTCCTACATACGATGTACATCTTTATCCACCCCATCAGTACACCTTTGTATCCTAAATTTCCCTGCTAACCTCTGCATCCACCAAAACCTCCCCTATCCTCTTCACTCAACTCCCCCCCCACACACACCTTAACTCTACATGCCTCCTCTGCTCATCTTTGCACCCACCTTCCTTACCTCTGTACATCCCCTCCTTACTCACCTGTGCACCCCAAACTGTAATTCCTTTTCTGCCCCCCCTTCACTTTGCTTACCTTTGTAGAACAGGCTGATGGTGGGCTCAGTGACCACGGTTGCAGGCAGGACTTTCAAGCATGCCCGTTTACCTCCCCAGTGGGCAGCATTCAGCAGAGGTGATGGTGGCTGGAACCTCAGGAGGGCATATTATACATATGAATGCTGATTACCACCGTAATTTACATATGAATGTTGCTGCTATTTGCATATGAATGTCACCACTATTCACATATGAAAGCTGACAGTCTGTACATCTGCACCTGGCAATAGGGCAGAGGCGGGCAGCATAAGTGACAGCACTTTACACTGAGATGTCGGAAAACAGCGCAGGATGAAGACTTGAGGGACAAGAGAATTAAAACTGGGACAGTTGGCAAGTATGGGTCAGCTGCTTTGGACCCCACAATGACTGGGCCCAAGGCAGCTGCCCCTTTTGCCCCTCCTTTTGCCCTGGCTGTGGCAGATCACTTTTCAGAGGGTGTTTGACAGGCGGTAATGTCACCTCCTTGCTGTCTATTTAAACCCTGAAGATGCTAACCCACTGTGCTGCAGCCATGTGAATTGCACACAGTTGTAGCATGACCCCATTCCATAAAATTTTTGACTGCAGAGCAAAGCTAAGGGCCATGGCATGTGTACAGCTCTGAGCAGCTGCATCTCTTTGTTCAGGTGGTTTTTTTTGGGGGGGGAATGGGGTGGCAGTAAAAACACAGCTCAACTGAGTGCTTTTACTCCCCTTAATCTGCCCATATGAATGAGACCTAAGGCCATGTTTATACTTGCAGTTGAGGGGGTGGGTGGTAAAATCAAAGGCAGCCATATGGGGGTATACACATGCACAGCAAAAATTATCCCTGACACATGCAACAGGCAGTACCGCCCCCTGAGTGCCACCCATGCAAATGAATAAATCAAAGCTGCAACCACCCTGCAACATCATATGGTTTTGGTGCAGCGTTGTAGGATTTTAGGGATTAAAACAGACAATAGAGAACCAACATACTGCCTCCTTACTGTCTATCAAATGCCCTCTGAAAAGCAATCCAATGCAAATCACCCTTCAGAGGGCTACTGCAAATGTAAACGCGCTCTCACTGCACACCTATGTCAGTGAGAAGAGAAGCATGCTTGTTTTTTGCACGTGGCGTTAAAGGCATCTGATTAATTTAAATGGGCTGCCCTGATTGATCTTAAGAATATGAGGTTTATTTATTTATTTTAGGTACCTATATAGCACTGTCAATTTACACTGCACTTTACTCATATATTGTACATTCACATCAGTCCCTAACCCTCAAGGGGTGTACAATCTAAGGTCCCTAATTCGCATTCATACACATACTAGGGCCAATTTAAAAGGAGCAGAGTAACCTACCCGCATGTCTTTGGGGTGTGGGAGGAAACCGGAGTACCCGGAGGAAACCCACACAGGGAGAACATGCAAATTCCAGTCAGGTAGTGCCATTGTTGGGATTCAAGCCAACAACCCCAGTGCTGCCAAGTGGAAGTGCTAACCACTTAGCCCATTGCTAGCCTTTATCTGGCCCTTGGGGCACCATTGCTCCCAATGATATAAGGCACGATTCCTCCCGCTAACACCAACAATGGGGCACTATTCCTCCCACTGACACCAACAATGGGGCACTATTCCTTCCATTGAGACCAATGATGATGTAGTATACCTCCCACTAAGATCAATGATGATGTACTATTCCTCCCACTGGTACCAATGATGGGTCACTATTCCTCCCACTAATACCAATGATGGGTCACTATTCCTCCCACTAATACCAATGATGCAGCACCATTCCTCCCACTTATACCAATGATGGGACACTATTCCTCCCACTGATACCAATGATGGGACACTATTACTCCCACTGATACCAATGATGGGACACTATTACTCCCACTGATACCAATGATGAGACATTATTCCTCCCACTGACACCAACAATGGGGCACTATTCCTTCCATTGAGACCAATGATGATGTAGTATACCTCCCACTAAGATCAATGATGATGTACTATTCCTCCCACTGGTACCAATGATGGGGACACTATTCCTCCTACTTATACCAATGATGGGACACTATTCCTCCCACTGATACCAATGATGGGGCACTATATTCCTCCCATTGATACAATGATGGGACACTATTCCTCCCACTGATACCAATGATGGGGCACTATTCCTCCCACTGATACCAATGATGGGACATTATTCCTCCCACTGATACCAATGATGGAACACTATTCCTCCCACTGATACCAATGATGGAACACTATTCCTCCCACTGATACCAATGATGGAACACTATTCCTCCTTCTGATACCAATGATGGGACACTATTCCTCCCACTGACACCAATTATGGGACATTATTCCTCCCACTGACACCAATTATGGGACACTATTCCTCCCACTGATACCAATGATGGGACATTATTTCCTCCCACTGATACCAATGATGGAACACTATTCCCTCCTTCTGATACCAATGATGGGACACTATTCCTCCCACTGACACCAATTATGGGAACACTATTCCTCCCACTGATACCAATGATGGAACACTATTCCTCCCACTGATACCAATGATGGGACATTATTCCTCCCACTGATACCAATGATGGAACACCATTCCTCCCACTGATACCAATGATGGGACACTATTCCTCTCACTGATACCAATGATGGAACACTATTCCTCCCACTGATACCAATGATGGAGCACTATTCTTCCCACTGATACCAATGATGGGACACTATTCCTCCCACTGATACCAATGATGGAACACTATTCCTCCCACTGATACCAATGATGGAACACTATTCCTCCCACTGATACCAATGATGGGACATTATTCCTCCCACTGATACCAATGATGGAACACTATTCCTCCCACTGATACCAATGATGGGACACTATTCCTCCCACTGATACCAATGATGGGCACTATTCCTCCCACTGATACCAATGATGGAGCACTATTCTCCCACTGATACCAATGATGGGACACTATTCCTCCCACTGATACCAATGATGGGACATTATTCCTCCCACTGACACTGGGACACTATTCCTCCCACTGATACCAATGATGGGAACATTATTCCTCCCACTGATACCAATGATGGAACACTATTCCTCCTTCTGATACCAATGATGGGACACTATTCCTCCCACTGACACCAATTATGGGACATTATTCCTCCCACTGACATCAATTATGGGACACTATTCCTCCCACTGATACCAATGATGGGACATTATTCCTCCCACTGATACCAATGATGGAACACTATTCCTCCTTCTGATACCAATGATGGGACACTATTCCTCCCACTGACACCAATTATGGGACACTATTCCTCCCACTGATACCAATGATGGAACACTATTCCTCCCACTGATACCAATGATGGGACATTATTCCTCCCACTGATACTAATGATGGAACACTATTCCTCCCACTAATACCAATGATGGGACACTATTCCTCCCACTGACACCAATTATGGGACACTATTCCTCCACTGATACCAATGATGGAACACTATTCCTCCCACTGATACCAATGATGGGGCACTATTCCTCCCACTGATATTAATGATGGGACACTATTCCTCCCACTGATACCAATGATGGGACACTATTCCTCCCACTGATACCAATGATGGGACATTATTTCCTCCCACTGATACCAATGATGGGGCATTACTCTTCCTTCTACTGACCACAAACCCTAAGGCCATCTGTATTCTCACTGATGCTGAGCCCCGGACATTTTCTACCCCAGCTGGCCACAATCTGCCCCCCTACAGTCAGAAGGACAATAAACTGGCCCATTGTTTAAAAAGTTTGGAGACCCCTGACCTAGAGTGTTGGTGCCACAGCCAATCAGAAGAAAGCTTTCCTAGCTGGTGCAGTTTTAACAAAGCAATAGTGTTGAGGAGGGTTGACACCGTATCCCTTTAAAACTGAACATGTATTAATTACACAGGTTCTGGGGCTAATTTAATGCAGATAAGGCACTGAGTTTAATGACCACCTTAATCAGCCACAGAACCTGTGTAAATAGTGTGTTCGGGTTTAAAAGGATGAAGTGGCAACCCTAGTGTTGAGGAACATTACATGTTAAAGAATTTCACCTAAAATGTCATCACTGAATGAAATGTAAATATAAATGACTGTATACTTTTAATGAGACAGACAGATAATCTGTACATGAAAATCACAAAAGCCTAGAGCCATTTTTATGATTTGTAACCAGTATTGATTATACCAGGTGTATGTGTGGTCATTCCTTGTTATTCCACCGATAAATGTCACACTTGCAAAAGAAACTTCCATTATTACCGGCTCATATTACTGTAGCTCCAGTCATTTGGTACATTTGATTCAGCGTAACAAGTGGTAACAGGAGGCATAACGAAAAAACAGCAAATCTCCATAGACGCACCATAACAGGACACAAGGAAAATAACTGCACATCTGTGGGACATTTCTAACAACCAGACCGCTCTATGGAGGACATTCATATCTTGGCTCTTAAAGGAAATTTCAAAACCATTCAGGAAGGGAAAACCTCCAAACTAAGAATGATAATTGACTTTGACACAAAAGTTCATGGACTCTTTGTCTGATACTAGTTGGCTAAATTGCTTTCGGATACCTTTTGTGACCCTTCTTGCCTCTGTGACTCTACCTCCTCCTATTCTATAGCCCACTCCTTATCCGGCTTACTTTTATTACTGTTTTATCACACTTCCCTAATGCTAGTCTTAGGCAGGCCATACTACATGATGCAATTTTCTTTCCTGCAACCATGACTGATAGGATGCAGTCACTGTTCAGCCAACACATAACCACTAGGTACAGTCAAGTTTTAAATCAGTTTATGTTGAGACTGGTGGTACTTGCAGGGGCACTCATGGTTTGAATTTTAGCTGAAATGAGCAGAAACTGGCTGAAATTTAAGCTGAGCCATCTATGCCCAAGATAACTTTCACTGATCGTTGTCTTTAAAGTTCTGCTTTAAGTAGTGGTCTCTCCATGAGGAATTGGCACCTTTGATGAGCAGGAACTCGATTTTGACAGGTACCCACTCCCAGGGCAAAAAAAATGCACTGGAACGCATCAAAAACGCAACCGGACTGCGTTTCTGGGGTGTGAACGAGCCCTAAATATAGTTCTTAGATACATTTTGCTTGCCCTTCCTTCACTTTGGGAGATTTGCATGTAGGAAATATCTTGAAAAAAAACCTGAGTCTCCCACCCAAAGAGGAAGCATGCACAATATATACATTGTATTTGTCAAAGCAAAAATGTCTTGCCTAATTTTAGAATGTTGTCCCCTATGAGTGTAAGGGTTAGTTCACACTGGGAATCACACAGAACTACTTTTTGGAAACTCACTGCAACCGCCTCTCCTGGTACTTTTGTACCATGTGATCTGGTTTGGGCAAACACACTGCATTTGAGAACTGCATTTTGGGTGTCATTAACTTAATATTGACACCTGCTGTAGCTTGCAACCGCAGTGCATTTTGAAAGCAGTGCAGAAAACGGACACGGATTGCAAGTTTCCTGCATCGCTTTTTGGTGTGCCCTGAGAGTTGGTTTTTTCTACCTTCCCTCCCTATTCAGTTCTTCCTTTCAGTATAAAGATTAATTCACACTAGTGGACTGATCTGTGTGTTTGCCATGTTGACCTTTTCTGAGGCATAGCAGTACTCACATAATGCCTGCTGCTGACTTCTAATATGCAATTGCCATTTTGAATTAGATGCTATCAGTGTTGAATATGTACTGCATTTGCAAGTGCTGCTTTGTGGGATGTGGTGGAAGACTTAGGCTTCGTTCACACAGGCATGCGATTATATGCATTTATAGGACTTTTTTAAACACATATAAATGTTTAAAACAATTTTAAAATGGAGCTAAAGTCTGTGACACTTACTTCTGCTACAACATTTCAAGGTGCTGACTCTGGCATCTTGTCCTCAGCTTCTTCTGGGTGCCAGTCTTTGGCCATCGTGATTGACCAGTGTAGGATGACATCACTCCCATCAATGCACAGGGGTTCATTCATGGGCACTGTACCAAAATGTATACTAAGCTGCACATGCACAGCTCAGTGTACGTTCTACAAAAAACTGAATAGGCAGATAATTGGTTTGCTGAAGAGACATTGCATGTCCATGAGTTGTTTTGATTGCATTTAAATAAAACAAATACATAAAGCACATCTGAATGAAGGCTTAAAGTAGTAGCCCAAACTATTTTTTTAAAAAAGTAATTAAAGTAGGGAACTCACCCATCAGATTATTTTTCACTGTGTCTTGCTGGGGAAATTTCCCTTTACTTCCTGTTTTGGAGACCTACTAGGATATGTGAGGAAATCTTTTCAAGTAGAAGGGATTTCCCATGTCAGATAGTGGTCTGCAAAACATTTGTGCCTACTGATAGATTTTTCTCTTACACCTTGCTCTCCTGACAACTCTGAAATGTGGCATTTACACATGATCTGTCTTGGTGACAATGGTCACCACAACAAATAGAAGGGTGAACCTTCCCAGTGGGAGCACAGACTGTTACAAAAAATTGACAAATGGCCTAACCCTTTCTCACTCCATCCAAAATGTCTGTAGCACTACCCCCTTAGGAGTTGCTGAGTTTTGGGTCCCTCTATAGTCATGCACAGCTAGGCAACACACATTTCCTTAGATCTTGCACACAAGAGACAGTAAATGGTCATTGAGCTTTGTTTTTTTGTCATTCTATTAAAGGGGTTAATAACTTGGATATGGTAAGGGGTGTATGGGATACACAAGGGAACTTCAAACTTAAGACAACTTCCTGGCAACTAAAGTCCAAAGACAGAACTCTTCTTGAAGAGCTCTCCAGCCTCTCCTGGTGTACCACCCCAGAACTCAGATAAATCCTCTTCTTTACCCAGCTGTCTGGAAAAATCCCTGGGCAAGGGGATCCAGTGCCTGCCTTTAAGATGTACATTCCAGGGTAAGGAGCCAATCATGTTTCCCACCAGAGTGCTCTTTTTACCTTTAACTGGCCCAGGGGGTGTAGGATTGCTCACTCAGTCTCTTTCCTGTAAGCTGGTTTAGATAAATGGCTGCCTTCAGGCCTTCTGTTGGGCTGGCTGCTTTCCTGGCTCCAAAATTAGTCCTCCCTCCAGGGACTGGTGAGGCTGAGTGATCCTCCTTTCCAAGTCCCAGCCTGCAGGTAGGCCTCTTCCCACTGGGCCCCCTCCCAGGCTCCTGCATCTCAGCCTTCCTCTCACTCCATCTTCCACCTGAACTCTCCTGCCTCTGAGAAGGCTCACCCAGTCTTAAGGGCTGTCCTGACCCAATGCCAAGCCTCTTGCATGGGAATTGGCCAGTAACCCTCAGGAGTAGAGATCAGCTCCTCCTCACCCCCGCCCACAGAGTTCTACAGACTTCTCCATGTCTTCTAGATCAGGGAGAGGTTTGAGAGCTGATCTGCAGAGCCCTCAGCCCTGACCCAAATTTGACCTTCTGACTATCTCCCAGACTGCTAACCAGACTGAAAAAAAACAATCGACTAGTTCCTCTAGCTACCTAGGAGGGTGCTACATGTCACCTACACTTTAATATAGACTGCAGCTTAGCATTCTGGGACAAGTTTCAGGGAAAGTGTGGTAGATTTTACAAATTGGAGCCAATGTCCCAATGAAAATGAAAAGCACTTGCTTGAAATATACCTATCCTACAAATTTTTAATAGAATAATATTATTATACAGGATTTACTGTATATAGTGCCAACAGTTTGTGCAGTGCTTTACAACATGAGGTTAGACAGTACAGTTCCAATGCAATTCAGTACAGGAGGGATCAGAAGGCCCTGCTTGTTAAAGTTTACAATCTAAAAGGCAGGGTCAAGTGATACATAAATGTAATAACTGTAGGGATGAGCTGATGAAGAAAGTGGAAATACAGTTGTCAGGTGGAGGCTGTCAGGAATGGACTTGCCAGTAATGGTGGGACTCACCTGCCTTGTGGGCTGCAGTACCAGGGCTGGCCAGCGGGTGCTCTCAGCAATCAGAGACTCAACCCTGCAGTCAGCCAAACACCTGAAGCTGATTACGGAGGTGTATTTAAGGGATGGCCAGACCTGCAGTCTGGGCCTTGGTGTGTGTTTTTTCTATGGGCCCCTGTATCTTGTTACCTGCATTCCTGTTCCTGTTCCTGCCTGACTGACTCGTTGCCGACCCTGCCTGATCCTGACCTCTGCTGACTTCTCCTGTTTGATCCCTGGCTTGACTTCCCGACCATTCTCTGCCTGACCCCCTGTACCTACCTGCCCGTTAGTTGCTGTACCCGGCTCGTGACCTGACTACTCTCTGCCTGCTCCTCCTGTTCCTACCTGCCCGATTGTTATTGACCCGGCCTACCTGACTACGCTTGCATTGTATGTATTGTTTTCTGTGGGTGGCTTGGTTTGGTTCGTTTGCACTTTGTTTATGTTTTAGTATTGCACTGCGTTTTGTATTGTTAGTATTAATAAATTATATTGTTTATAACATATCTGAAGCCTGCGTTTCCCTGCGTCAGTTCACATACCTCTGGTTATACCCGGAGCCCTGACAGAGGTGGGATAGACTTCTCTGAAGAGAAGTGTTTTCAGGGATCGACTAAAAGAGAGTAAACGATAGTTAGACAGATTACGGTAGGGAGTTCCATAGGATGGGAGATGCTCAAGAGAAGCCCTGAAGGCGAGTATGGGAGTAAGTGATAAAGGAGCTAGAGAAGAGGAGGTCTTGGGAGAAAGGTAGAGAATGGTTTGGTTGGTATTTTGAGACTAGATTAGTGATGTAGTTGTGGATGGCTTTGTAAGTTATTGTTAGTATTTTGAATGTAATTTGTTGGGTGAGTGACAGCCAATGGAGGGACTGGCTGAGAGGGGTGGCAGACAATGAAAGGTTGGTAAGGTGGATGAGACTGGCAACAGCGCTCATGATGGACTGAAGGAGGGATAGCCCATGTAAAGGTAAGCCAATGAGGAGACAATTGCAATAGTCTAGGTGAGAGATAACCAGGGAGTTAGGAGCTTTCTGTAGTTATTTGTTAGGGAGGGGCGTATTTTGGAGATGTTTTGGAGGTGAAGGGGGCAAGCTTTGGACAGGGGTTGGAATAGAGGTATAAAGGTGGGAATTCAGCCATTGTGCATATAGCTAAGGTCAGATATGGCTACAGGTATAACATACAGTATATACTTTCACAGTGTCACTCAATGTTTGGGAGATAAAATTGCTACCATTTCTACAGAAAAAAACAGGTCTTATGCCCATGAACTAAATTGGCACCTTGTTCCCGTTGTATCTGCCAGGTGGCCTTTTGGGAGGATGGATGATGCACATTTTCAATACTACAAAATGATTACACACAACAGAATGGTGTCACGTGACTTCCTTTGGCCAAATGAGGTCATATCTGTGTCCTGACAAGGAGGATGGGGGTTTTTCCACTCATAGCTAAAGGTCCTAATTAGGCTACTGCCAGGGAAGTGCTTGACCCTCCTACATCAAGCACCAGAGTAAATATATTCCTTGAAATGAAGTAGACATCAGATCAGGATAAACTGGATGCATATCTGTGCAACTCTGTTTTATGAGCTCATGCTAATTAGTACCCAACAGAGGTGAGCAGGCTGGAGGAGGGTTGTTATGGAGACCGCCACAAGACTGACCACATCCACAGGATGCCATCCCACACAAGTCACAGCAAAATAAATTAACCCTTACAGCTATTAGCCCTAGTAGAGTACTACTCATAAAAAACTTCTCTGCTGAACTGAACAAATAGATTAGTATTACTGAGGGATTTATATAGCACTAACAATTTGCCTTTAAAAAATAGAGAGACAGTACCTTTAAGGCTCATTCACACCAACTTCAGCGACCTACAATTTTCTACACCAGATCAACGCAGGTCGCTGCAAGGGCGCCTAGAATACAAGTGCCTCATTCACACCATAGAGCTGTAAACATATGGATTGCATTATTATGCAACCTGTCTGCATTTTAACGCAACACAATGCAATGAACACCTAAAGAGAACTGAAGGGAAAGATAGAAAAAAATACATTGTTTTTGGTATTAAGACCCTTCCAGGGCCCTGCCACTTCACAATGGATGACAAAAAAAATGCACTGTAATGCAACGCAACGTGCTTAAAAATGCAAGTTAAATGCACTTCAACACACTTGCAGTTTTTGATGGGTTTTGGTGCGTTTTTATGTACAGTATAGTAAGAGAGGGTCCTTACAGTACAATTCAATACAGGAGGCAGGGCCGGGACAAGGGGTGGGCAGCAGGAGCGGTTGCCCTGGGCACAATGGTTTTCTACAAGGATGGAGGCATCTTCCTTCTGTTTCAAGGCTAGCAGCCCAGCACTGGGTGCATTGAGGAGAGTCGGGAGGTTGTGTGGGCTGTATTCTCCTTCCCCCTGTTCCTTCCTGCTATTGCAATGCTCCTATATTATTATTATTATTATTATTACATCGAGTTTATATAGCGCCAAAGGGTTTGCTCAGCGCTGTACAATAGAGGGGGGGACAATACATGACAATACATGAAACAGTACAGCAACAACAAACAGCACACGAGGGGTTAGAGGGCCCTACTCTTTCGAGCTTACAATCTAGGAGGGGAGGGGGTAGTGGTACAGGAGGAAGTGGCTGTGGGGGATGGAGTGGTAGGAGGAATGAAGGAGGATGGCTGTTAGGTAAGGGTGGGGTAGGCTTCCCTGAAGAGGTGGGTTTTCAGGGAGCACCTGAAGGTGAGGAGGGAAGGCGACAATCTGATGGATCGGGGTAGTGAGTTCTAGAGGATGGGGGAGGACCTGGAGAAGTCTTGCAGTCATGCATGGGAGGAGCAGAGTTCCACCCAAAAGGGGATGTTCCACTTTAAAGACTGGTCCCCTGCTCCCCATTAAGGGTTGGCACCTTTGTGGAGCGGGTACCCGAAATTGACAGGTACCCACTCCCACTTCCGCTGCAATTACCTAGGCGATCAGAAGTGGAAGTTATCCTCCTATCCTCCCTCCCCATAGTCTTCTGCGACATGTGACAGATCCTAGAAGACTATAGGGCCATTCAGAAAGCGCAGCTCTACTCACGCATGCGCAGTGGGCACATGGCTGTGAAGACGCAAGCTGTCACAGCTGGGTGCCCACACTGAAGATGCCAGCGCCTGGAACACAGGACAGCCAATGAAACGGGCTTTCAGTGTGAGTGGAACTCCGCTTTAACAGGCAGGTGGTGGTGTGCCCAGACACACAGGAGCTGCACTAGCAGGAAGGAGGAGAGGGAGAGACAGCACAGCCAGCACCGCTGAATGCAGACATGTCCAGGAGAGAGCTGCAGGCAGAGCAGATAGCCAGAAAGGGAAGAGAGAACCATCAATATAAGCACGTGCCCACTGTTAAATCCGAGCTGCACAGTGATTTTGATAAGCGATAGACCAATGAGTGTAGGATCCCCAAAGCTTGCACATCATGAATTGAGGGTGGCAGGGAGGCACAGTTTGGCCTCTTTGCCTTGGGAACTGGGTGACCTTCTCCCGGCACTGACAGGATGGCCCTGTTCCTGAGAACTTACAATCTAAAAGGAAAGGGCAAAAGATACAAAAGGTAATAACTGTGAAGGAAAAGATGATGGGGAAAGTGGAAGTAAAGTTTTTAGGTGGAGGCAGGATTAAATTCCCAAAGGAGATGAGTTTTCAGGGATTGTCTGAAGGCGGAAAGAGTGAGAGATAGCCTGACACAATGTGGTGGGGAGTTCCAGAGGATGGGAGAGGCTCTGGAGAAAACTATGAGGCAAACATGGGAGAAGGTAATGAGGGAACCAAATAGCGGGAGGTCTTAGGAGGAGCAGGGTAGGCGGTTTGGATGATATTTTGACATTTTTTTCATTTATTTGGAACCCTGGCTGGTAGTGAAGTAGTTAATGCTTACTCGGCAGCAAGGAAAATCATTATCCAGTGTTTTGTGTAACTAGGTGGAAAGACATCCTTGCATGAGGAGACGATGCATTGTTCTCTTGGTCTTTGGGAGGAAAAGAAATGAGAGCACTGCATGCTACTAACAGGGTAGGGTCCATTCTGCACACTCACGTTCACAGTACATATTTATATACATTGTTCTGGGCTGCAGAGGGAGCTTCCGCAGCATTTCCTTCTTTCCAAAATACTGGCGCCTAAGGGCACATCCTCTGATGTCATTTCCTTTTGCTTTTTCTTCTGCCACCTGTCTGCCCTGCAGGGATGTCTGGGCTCTTTCTTAGAAAACACTGACTTGTCCAGATATGGAAGACAAATGACCACTGAAGGGACATTGCTGGACAAGCACAAAATAGCAAATGCTACAGAAAAATGTAAAGAATGATCACCAGCTGCAATCGCTGATCACTTTTTTGTATTTCGGCTACTCTAAACCGATGAATAGCAGGATCTTTTTGGTTGCCGTGGGTTACTGTACACTACTGCTTATTGCACTGCCTGGTTATTTAAACATAGGTCAGAATTCCATATCTTGGGTGCCAGTGAACATTTATACTGGCCATACACTTGACACACAGTAATCTGCTACCCTATCTGTTTCTCAATCTTAGAGATACCAAAGGTTCAGATAAAAACCATGATATACTTACCTGCCCCAAACCAGGGGTGGACTGACAACTCATGGGGCCCCCGGGCAATAGGGGATCATGGGGCCCCTGTGTCCTTGCCCAAACTCAAAAAAGCCTATGAAAAAGGTACCAGGAGCATCTCATGGGGCCCCCTACTGATCCCGGGCCCTCGGGCAGTGCCCGAGTTTCCAAATGGTCAGTCTGCTCCTGCCCCAAACATCTTCTTCTTGGAAATCCAGGCTCATCGCCTTTGCCGAGTGCCCCCAGAGCAAGCCGCTTGCTCTGGGGACACTTGTGTGTGCTCGCCCCCAAGCCCGCCTAGGTGTGTCTATAAGACACACAGAGCGTCGCTTGGCCCCTCCCCCCACTTCCTCTTCACTGGCTGTGATTGACAGCAGCGGGAGCCAATGGCTTCCACTGCTGTGTCTGAGCCAAAGAGGAGGGAGAGAATGGAGAAACCTACTGCTCTCAGGCACAGCACTAGAACCAGATTGGGTTTAGGTAAGTATTGGAAGGGGGGGGGGGGCTGAAGAGGGAGCTGCATACTGAAGGTTTTTTACCTTCATAGTTACATAGTTAGTCTGGCTGTAAAAAGACAAAAGTCCATCCAGTTCAACCATAAAAGGAAAACTGACCCACATATTTTTTTTTAATTTAGTTGTATATTTACATAGAATGCTTAAAGGTAATAAAAAAAAAACCTTCAGCCTTCAGGTCCACTTTAAGCCTTGGTTTACATTAGTGTGGGTTTGTGGACCAATGAAAAGCAGCCCATTCATTTTGATGGACTGCTAACCCTCGCAAAACGCAGAGAGAAGGTCCCTGCAACTTTCCAGAAATCATAGCGTGCACTGGGAATCGCACTACAGTACAGTTGCCATTGCGGGTGCAATTTCCAGTGCGGGCACCAAGCCATTAAGACTAATGGCACCTACCTGTGGGTCCCACGGTTTTGTGTGTGGGTGCTTGCAGCTGCGGGGCGAAGTGTGGGTCCCTCAGTGGCTTCTACTGGCACTAATGTGAACCAACCCTTAAGGTGTTACTAAACCCACAAAAGTAAAATCAGTCTGTATGTGCAGTAAAGCATGCTTGCTATACTCACTGTGGAACCTAAGGGGTTAACCCTTCACATTGTGTAAAAAGGGTGTTTGAGCTTGTCTTCTCTGATCCTCCCCTTACTCCACAGTCCTCAATTTATCTGCTGATAGAACAGAGTCTCGGGGGCAAGCTGAACATGCTCAGTTTAGTGTATATTGCTTTTTTTTTTTTTTTTTTTTTTCTTGGGAGAGTGCATGTGATCAGCACAGGGCCAATCAGCACTGTCCAGACAGAGGATAAGGGGGTCCTACAGCCTCATAGGGGAGAATGAAAACTCCTCCTACAAGCTTTAACCAGTGCTCTGCTGGACACTGATAGAAGTCACAAAACTGCACTAACTGCTGATGAGAAAAGGTATTTAGCAGTTTATATTTCCTAAAATAATTGCACTTCCATGTTCTGTGTACTGTGGGAGACCAGATATAGTGAATGCAGGGTCCAGGGTTTAGTAACACTTTAATGATGAAATGAGGAGGAAAATGATCTGAAATGACTGCAGTGGTGTTCAGAAGGCACTTTCACTTGATTTCCAAGTCAGCTTCAATCATCTGGTCACTTAGAACCAGGGAATTATTGAAATCATGAGTAGCAAATTGCGCTGGTAAAAGCCTGTAAGCACCAAAAATGGCACCTAATACTGGCTATATACACAGAGTAATTATCTATGGATTTCAGCAAGCTGATGGTCATAAAAGAAACCTCAAGTTAGAAATGGTCAATATATGTTATTCAATTCTCTATCAAACATACCAATGTTATCTTCTGCAGTGTTTTCATTTCCATTCCAAGCATGCCTCTGGTTACAATTATTGCTGACTTGCTTGAAGCAGGAATTCTCCTCTGGCGACTCTTCTCCAGCACCGCCATTGTTACTGAACATTTGGCGCATGTGACCTGGCAGAGATCCCTGTGTGGGGTTTGTACATGCGTCACTTTTACTGCACATGTGCACTCCTCTGCAGGCCTCTGCTAGTCCTCTGGAAGGGTGAAGGAGGGATGGGGGGAGGAGGCAGACGAGAGAACCTTGCAAAATGGGTGAAGTTCTGCATTAACTTTCTTGTCACACCTATGGGCCATTTGGGTCCCTCCATGAAATCTGCCTGAAAAAGTCCCACTTAGGAATCCCCATGTCCTGCATTGTTGCTAAGAAATGCTCACTCCTGTAGTGGTGGAAGTGGGCATGCAACACTTTTTGCATTCTAGAAACAAGAAGTTTTTCAGCCAGGCCACCGGGGGCCCAAATTTCTTACAGGTATAACAATGAAATGAATGAACATTTAACAAAGCTTCATGAGTTCTATTGGGGCCCTTTGACTGCTTAGGCTATTTTCTGAAAAAGGTGAACCTTTAAAGTGGTAGTAAACCCTTACATACACCCAGTGAAGCAACTAGCATCAGGTAATATAAAAAGAGAAAAAAAATCCTTCTATGTGAGTTGTACCTGTTTATCTGCAGTACTGTCTTTTTTACAGCCATTCAAAGTTCAGATTTGATACAGCTTGTCTGACCTTCCAGAAAGCAGAGGTGAGGAGCTGAACACTCCGCAGAGCTCAGCAAGAAGAACTCTGAGAGCTGATTGGAGGGAAGGGACACATACACCTTCACACAGCACACAGGAACAGAGCAGAGACTGTCAATCACAGACTGTGCGCTGGAGAGCCTCCCCTGTCAAATTTTTTACTTCTCGGCGACAGGAAAACCTGTCAGAAGTGACTCAGATAGTAGAGCAGGCATCTCTAAATAGCAGACTGGGGTCCGGATGCAGACTGAGTCACTGTCCCATCTGGACCCATGCAGTCCTGCCATTTAAGAGCATTTTCTTCCCCCAGCTGTCTTGCGGTCATACTCACAGAGCTGACAGCGGGAGGCAGGACAGTTCTGGATGGAGGGTGGGAGCTGCCCGAGGTTAACAAGCAGGTGATTGGTTGCTATGATGAAGGGCAGTCCTAGAAATCAATCACTGTCTGTGTAAGGTAGAACAGTGGGGGATGAAGTTAAAGGGGCTAAGGACATTAGTTTGAAGGGGGTGCTGAAGACAGTAATGTGGGGGGCTAAGGACTCTGGTGTATGGGTGCTGATGCCATTAAAGTGGGAGGGGCTGAGAACTGCAGTGTGAGGGCTGAGGACAGTAATGTGGGGGGGGGCTGAGAACAGTAACATGGAGCTGGTTGAGGACAGTAATGTGGGGGCTGAGGACAGTAACATGGAGGGGGCTGGGGACAGTAATGTGGGGGGGGGATGATGTAAAAAGGGGCAGAGTACTCTTCAGTGAAGGGGGGCAGTGGACATTACTGTTGGGGGGGGGGGGGGGTTGATGTCAAGGAAGTGTGAGAACACTACTGTGAAAGGGGTGGAGGGGGGTGATGTAAAGGGGGGAGCTGAGGACACTCATCAAGAGGGATCTTGCTGTGAACGAGGAGGGGACTGTGATGTGCAGTGAGCATTGAAGACACTGATGTAAGAGCAGGTCCAGATCTGTACATGTGTATTTGGTGCACATGTGGGTAGATCAGCACTACCTGCTACAAACCTGAAGAAGTCCCTGACCCTTTTTTTTTTTTTTTTCAAAATCGCACTGCAGCAACACGTGGTTTGCGCACATGAAAATGCACCACAGGGGCCTACATGAGATTTGGACCTCTGATACATGCAATTTGTACTGCCCGGACCTTGGTGAATTTTAATTCAATGACACTGTAGTAGAGGAATGAGGCAGCAGACAAAAATGACACTTGCTCTGGATTGAGACAAGTACACACTATGGAGGGATATACTTTGTTTCAAAAAACAGTTACATTCCCGGCAGGCCGGGGATATTAACTGTCACATATGCTGGTGCTGTCACCCAAACTGTCAAACCACCAAATGGCTAGTGTCATAACTGATCGCATGTTCAGCACTATATCAGCTGCAGATCGAACAGAGGCTAAGATGACAGCTTTATTGGCTTAAAAGGATAGGAGGGATTAATTCCGCTTTAAAGTGGCATTAAACCCAATTACAAAAATGTAATATATTGCAGCTTAGCAGTTATTGATGTGGTGGCTGCATTTGTTTTCTTTTTTAGGCATTTTCTCCTGATGATCTGGCCAGTAACACGCCTCTTGCATTAGAGTGCCTCCACATTGAAGGTAAACTCCAACTATTACTTTATAAGCAGTTACAGCAAACAGGTTTTTCCTTTTGGAATAAAGGTTTTACATAAATAACAAAATAAAAGCTGATTCGTTGTCAGCACCCCTGTCAGTGCTAAATGGTTTGTCGTATCCCTGTAAACTGATATATCTGGAAAAGAGCTTGTTCTTTTGAAAAATAACAGACTTACTGGCTGGATCACCAGATGAAAATAGAAGAAAGAAAGCCTAAATAAGAAAACGAGTGCAGCCATTTCATCTAAGAATTGATAAGCTGCAATATAATAAATGTTTGCAATTGGGTTTAATACCTCTTCAAGTACTATGGGCTATCTGTAACAGCTACAGCCACTTTTCATTTTGGAAGTCTGGCTGGTAATATGCGACCTGTTTCTAATGTTATTAATCAGAAATAGACTATAGGCATTTTTTGCTAAGAAAAGATAGCCCCCATCCCCCCTAGGGGACATAAACTTATCAATTATATTTGGTCTCCTATAGTTCAATTGTAAATTCTCACAAATGCGATTTAGTTTTGCAATTCCTAGACATCATGTAGTGCACTTTTTTACTTTACAAATTTGGCTCAGACATGAAAACTCTGCAAGCGTTCATAATTGACATTTGCTCATCCCTGCTGTTGAAATATCCAGTTGTGCAATACAAGACATTTTCATTTTCTAAACAGAAAAAGATCTTGCATGTCGTGTTGTGAAGGATCAAAAAAACATTTCCTCATGGTGACATGTGAAAAGTAATAATGAAGATGAGCTGCATGAGTCACAGTCATCAGCTGATCGGATGATTTCCTGTCTCCACAAATTCAGCAGATGATATGTGTAGAAATATGTTATTATCTTGTCCATATTCGTAACCTCTTGCTGACTGCATAACACACATACAGGTGAAACTCGAAAAATTAGAATATCGTGCAAAAGTTCATTTATTTCAGTAATGCAACTTAAAAGATGAAACTA